GGCTTGTGGTTAAAATGATAAAGTGATCAGACCATTATCACTATTACAAACAATCTAACTCACCCTTACAACCCTGTTTTGGGCTTAAAATATAATTTAAATCTTTCCCTGTCATGCAATGGTTTGGTGCTATGCAGAGAAAACCAGATCCTATGTGGCCAACTGCAATTCAAATCTCAGCCCACCATAGCTTCAGGCTGGGCACCCATACCCATGCCCAAGATCTTTATGAGACAGAGAATTGGAGGAGAAAAGACTGTGGTGTGGCCAGGCCCCATGATGGTTTTTCTCTCTTGTGCACACATACATGAAATCTCAGACATAAAAATAAAAAAGTAGAATTTAAGGGGCCTGAATATTTTGACATGACAGAGTGTTAGTCATCTAGAAAATAAATTTTAAAGACTGTTCAGTTCCTTCATTATGTCATAGAATAGTATAAGAGAATTAAAGTACTTGCAGAGTCTAGTTTTGAAACCAGATCTGAAATCAGAGATTTAAATGTTATATGATATTTTAGGAAGTCTTTTAACATCTCTGAAACTTATTTCCTGCATCTATATATAACAAAATTAACTTTAAAAATTAGTTGGAAAGTCAATAAGAGAGTATATAGAAAGCATTTTGTAGATTATAAAATTGAAGGGACTGCATATTAATTATTAAGGGGTTATATTTAATATAAAATGTAATTTTATCTCCCACTTTAAAACATCTTTATCATTGATATAATCAATTATTATCATAGTCTAGGTTGTGATTCCCACATTTTCAGTCATGAAAAATGTACTACAACAATATGAAAAATGTAGATTGGGACCAGAAGCTGGTATAATGGCTATGCTGCTGGACTCCCACATAGTTGACCATGGTTTGAATCCTGAACCCGGTGGCTTAAAACTCATGCCAGGCATGTGTGCGTGCATGCCCAAGATCCCGAGAGGAAAATGGAGGAGAAGGGATTGTGATGTGGTCATCCCCCCTGGGAGGGTGATTTCTTGCTTTCTCTCTGTCACTGTCTTTCTAGCGAGCGCATGAGCCCTAAAGCAAAAACCTCTCCAAAAAAGAAAAAAAAAATGTAGATTAACTGCTGTAATATCATTGATAGAGAAAAGGCATAATGGCAGAACTATGAATTTAGTAACATGAAATTGCACAGCACTTGACTCATGGTAGGTTGCATATCTATTTGGGATAAACAGTAAAACAGGATGGATGGATGGATAAATTGATAAATTGATCTCTATAATTGAAAGAAACAGCAGTGATGAATATCATATAAGCAAGAATAGATTCTAAAATCTATCAGCCTAATTCCAACTCTCAGCAATTTTTTCAGTGTCTCCCTGTAACTTGGTAATAGGCCTAAGTATTGTTGGTATCACTTGATTCTATAAACCACTGTATTCTTTTTTAAAAATGCCTTGCTTGTTCACAGATCTAATAATAATTGAAGATTTCAAATTACTCACTACAACTAGAATGTTTGTTTTTGTTTGCAAGACAACATCCTGAAAAGCGTTTAATGCCTTAGTCAAGGTGTTAACAGGATAAATGAAATAGTCAATTTAGATCAATGGTGTGTTTTATAAAGCAAAACCTAACATGAATATAGATTGGGCTTACAACCAGATGCCCCTAACTTTTCAATGGGACAGCAGTTTTTTAGAAATAATTTTTCAAAATGCTTCTTCCAATCAAAAATTGCTTAGAATAATTTTGTTATTTTTGTGGAAATCCCAAAGTATGTGACTAATTCGATGTGTTCACATTTTATTACTTCAGGTCGACAGAGAGATATGTAATATTAGGCGATGACATTTCTATCCTCTCAGCCATCCACATTCAAAACTTGTCCTTTCAACTCATTCTCGTCTCTTCCTTTCCATCCACTTGGTCCCTACATGAATGTTTATGAAATCTTTACAATATTGATTCTTACTATCCTTGAAGATGACTTAGTTCTCTATTTGAGCTCCTTTAAATGTTATCTATTCAATTTGTAGTGTTCAGCTTGGTAGACTTATATTGCAAGATACATGATATTTTTAAGCTATTATACATTTTAAAAATTTTATGTCTGAGGTCAACATCAGACAATGGCATGGTGGTAAAATGTGACACTTGTGAAGAAATCCAATATGGGAAACTTACTAGTTCAAGTCTGGAGACCTCCCTGAATATGCCAAGCATAGGTGTGTCTATGATTAGGACTGACTGAAGGCTAGGGGTGGACTGTGGCATCAAGATTCTGTTGGGAATGTGCATTCTATCACTCATCTGCTCTCTTGCTCATGGAAGAAACATCACTTTTGATGTCTTTATAACACTATTATACAGAAAAACAACTTTTGTGTATTAGTCATCAATGTCATTTCTCATGTCTTCTATGTATTTTTTTAATTGCCAGATGGCACTAACCAGAAAGAATGAATGAGAGAGAGAGAGAAGAGACAAAAAGAGAGAAAAACCTCTAATGGGGCATGGACATGCTCCTTTTTAATCCATTACCTTATCCTGTGGGGATTTTGAGCATATACCCACATGTGCCCATTGTTTTCCCCAAGCTGTCAATGCCAGGATTTGAGCCATGTGAGACCTGGATTTTCATGCACATCATTTAGCTGCTAGGGTGTGATGAGGATGGCCCTCATATCTTTTATATTCTTACTGGTTGTTTTTCTATTTAGCAACTATTCAGATTTATGTGTTAAAGACACACTCCAGTTGTATATTTATTTCTTTGTTAAGCTAGTTTCGCTACTTTTTTACCTTATCATTTTGAAGTTGTATTATTGACTACATACATGTGGAACTATGTTATATTTTTGGTGGAACACCTGTGGTCATCTTTTTTGGTGGAAACACACTATTATTGTCATAATTTCTTGATATCTGTAAGTACAAAGTTCTTCTATTTCTACTTGAAGCTTAGTAAAACTATACTAGCAATTTTGTTAGATAGTATTTGCCTTTTGATATTTTCTTTTTGATTGCCATAAGGCATGTACATTTGCCAGAGAGAAATAGAGACAGAGAGAGATAGAGGAAAAGGAAGAAAACATCTCATAATGAAATGTGGTCATACTACAATCCCTTTCACTTCACTTTTCCATTCTGTTGGGATTCTGGACACTTACACGCCTGGCATGTTTTTCAAACTACCAGGGCCAGGTTTCAAACAAGTGTCAGCCATGTGCAATACAACTTCCCTAACCAGTAAGCTACAGGAGTGGCCCTGCCTTATACCATTTTTATTCTCTTATTTTCATCTTTATTATGTCTCTTTTTGATGTAATACCTTAAGAAGCATATTTTTTTTAAGTTGCAACCCTCAGCCTTTTATTAGTATATATTTCTCATTTATATTTAATATAAAGATATACTGGGACTGGCAGGTGGCACAGTGGTTAAAGGTGCTGGACTACCACGTGTTTGACTGTGGTTCAAGTCTCAGACCTGTAGGCTTGCTTTCTCACTCTCTCTCTTTCTCTGACCCTCTCTGGTAAAATTAAAATAAATAAATAAAGTTCAATAAAATAATTTTTAAAAAGATACATTTAAATGTAAATATAGTATCTTATTATATTTCAGTTTGACTCATTTATTACATGAGCTTTTTTTTCCTCTTTAGCCATATTTTTAGTTTAATCAAAATATTATACTCTACCAATTTTCCTTTATTAACATTTTATGCAGATATTCTTTTGGTTATTATTCTAAATATGCATCTTTGAAATTGTCTACTTTGAAAAGTAAATATGACTTTTCATCCATTACTGACAATTTAAGGATCTTGAAAAATTTCTATTTACCTCCTTCCACCTTTTATTGTATTATCATGAATTTTATCTTATGTGTGTTTGCACCTCATAAAAGACAATTATTTTTAAGCAAATATTTACTAATATTTTCCCACATATCTATACTGTTCTTATTGCCTTCTACACCTTTTTACAATCTTGTTTTTATATCTGAGATCATTTTCCTTCTGCCTGAAGAGCTCTAGAGTATTCCTGTCTGTTCAGATATGTTAGCAAAAGTTCATCTCAGAATTTGCTCTCCAAAGTATCTTACACTGTTTATACTTTTAATGATATTCAAAAACAGAGTATTCAATATTCGGTTGCATTTTTGGTAAAGTTCTATCTGTATTGGATTTACCTATACTTCAGAGTACTTTTCAACATCCAATCAAAAGTCAAGATTGTTCTTGCTCCTTCTTTAAAACAGTGAAAATAAACACACGTAGACACACACACACACACACACACACACACACATGCCCCCAAAGGGCATCAGGTCCTTGGAAACTTCTCCCAGATAGGTAGTAGAATAGTAAATATAATTTGGATGGTTTAGAAAAGACTTTGTTTAAAATATTTAGTATTATCATACTAAAATGTATAAAATCATTTACTTTTATTAAAAGTTAAAACATATATCTCTAATACAACTCCCCAAAAGAAAATATTTCTAGACAGAATTATATAAAAGCAACCTTATAACATAAAAATATTTTAAATGAAGATACTATCTATATCTTTTTTTATATTTTGACATATTTTCATAATTTTCTATTGCCCTATAGAATTTTTCTCAATTCAATATATCATATCACTCAGCTGCTAGGGTGTGATGAGGATGGCCCTCATATCTTTTATATTATCACTGGTTATTTTTCTATTTACTTAACTTAGTCCATGTATTCATTAATCTTGCTATTTTCCTCATATGTCTTTGATTTCTGATATATTGATTTATTTATTTCAATAATATTTTCCAAAGAATATTTCCACCAAGATTTATTGTTATGATTTATATTCTTGCTCTATTTTATTAATAGCTTCTTTACTTTGTTAAATATATTTATCATGCCAATTTTATATTATTCATCCATCTCATTAAATATGCTCTCATATGAGAGTATATGATACTAATTTAAACTTATCTTTTCGAGTTTTATGGGGCTTTTGAATATAAACACAGTTTTTGTTTGTCCTAAAATGTTTTTATTGGGCCAACTCTATGATGCTGCTCAAGAGAAACCAGAACCTGGATGGCAGCTGCAGTTGGAGACCTCGGCCAGGTTGTCCTGAAATACATTGGGAACATGCATGCGTGCTCCAGATTCTACATGTTCTTTCTTCCTTTTCTCTCTCTCACGCTCATGTGTGCATGTGATCTATCATGAATAAAGAAAAATGTTTTTATACTATGTGATATTATAATAATCAAAACAATTATCAATGACTAATACCACAGAAATCTATTTCTCATTCAGATTAAGTAGATTTGGGCAATTCAGTAGGCACCCTTCCATTTATTAGAGTACATTGGGATATTCCTTTGTATCCTGCATCTCTGACATCCACTAAGTTGTCCAAGTTCTTCACTTGATGAACATACATAGCTTTAAAGAAAAATGAATTATCATTCAATCATGCAGTATACCAAGAAGTATTACACATAATCCCTATCCATAGTCAATTACCCAGAACTCAGACATGAGTTCATCCAATTAAAAGCAAGTGAGGGGAAAAGAATCTATGTATCTATGTACCCAGGAGGATGAGAAATAAACTTTGGGTGAAATCAGAGCATTGATTTTATGCTTTTCTTTTATACAGATAGATATATATGTAAAATCCAAGGTTAAGGGTTACTTCTCCCAGAATATTTTTTTTTGAGAGGTTTTCGCTATAGGGCGTGTGCGCTCTCCAGATAGAGAGAGACATAGAGACAGAAAGAGAGAAATCACCCCCCAGGGGGAATGGTCACACTGCAATCCCTTCTCCTCCATTCTCCTCTCGGGATCTTGGGCACACACGCACACGCGCCGGGCGTGAGTTCTAAGCCACCGGGTCCGGGACGCGAACCGAGGTTGACTACGTGGGAATCCAGTGACATAGCCATTACGCTAACTGCTGGTTCTCCTTCTCCCAGAATATTGAAGATAACATCTCATTGTCTTCTTTTTCCCATAATTGCTTTTGAGAAATCACTTGACAACCTTTTTAAGAAGTCAGTAATTACTCTCAATATTTTTAATCTTTTTGTCAGTTGAACTTGGAGAATTCTCTTAGTTTACTAGTGGGTACCTGCCCCCTGCTTTCTCTCTTTTTACATAAAAACACTATATATTACATGATTACATATATACATGCACACAAATGCATATATGCTTGTATATATAACTTTAAATATATTTGGAAAGATTCTTAGGTGTTTCTTAATAACAATTTTATTAAGATATAATTCACATACTGTACAACTTACTAAAAGTATGTAATTGGATGGCTCTTTGAAATTAGTAACTTTTTTTAAAAGAAATCTTGCCATTTGTGACAGTATGGATGAACTTGGAGGACATTTTGCTAAGCAAAATAACCTAAACATAGAAGACAACTACTGTAGGATCTCAACTATATGTGGAATCTTAAAAAAGATTACTACTAACTAATGGAGCAGAGAACACAGTGATTAACTGAGTCTGGATCATGAAAGAAATGGGTAAATGTTAGTCCAAGTATACTGATTTTGGGGACAGGAGGTGATGTAGTGGTTAAGGTGCTGAACTCGCACATGGCTGACCACAGTTCAAGTCTTGGACCTAGAGGCTTGAAAATCATACCAAGTGTGTGTATGTGTGCTCAAATATCTAGAGGAAAATGGTGGAGGAGAAGGGATTGCAGTGTGGCCATCCCCTATGGGGGGTGGGGGGTGATTTCTCATTTTCTCTCTGTCTATCTCTCTCTGGAGAGCACACACACTCTATGGCAAAAACCTTAAGAAAAGTATACCAACTTACAGTTATGAGACGAGTAAGTTTTGGAGAGATGATGTAAAACATGGAGTCTGTAGCCAATAATATTATTAGGTTGTCTAAAAAGCCATGCTGTATTTTCTCTATGTTTTTTCAATGGTCATTTATTTTTATTAAAAAAATCAATCAATAATATATTGCAAACCTTTAGCCATCTTTCAGTGAACTTCATAATTGCTCATTCATAGAAGGACCTGTCTTTATCAGCAAAAAAACTGAACAAAGTGCTGATTTACAGTCTCATCTGAATTGAATGTTATACCACACAAGGGGTTTTGAAGAAAGTAAAAGAAGTGCAAGTCTGATGGCACAGGGTCAGGCGAGTATGGTGGGTGTGGCAACATATCCCATCTAAGCTCCAATAATATTTGACAGGTGCTCAGACTTGAGTGTGGTCTTGTGTTGTTGTGATGAATACAACTACTTTATGATCAACGAGCTCTGGGCATTTCTGGATGATGGATTCATTCGAACTGTCCAGTTGCTGACAACACATATTCAAATGGACTGTTTGGTTCCTTAGTAGGAGCTTGAAAAACATGATGCTTTTCAAATCCCACCACACTGAGCATAACCTTCCTCTGATGAATGTCTACTTTCGATGTTTGAGGTAAATCATCACATGAGGACAAGGACCATTTACGCACATACTGTTCTACTTCTCAACACCATTTATCAGTCACTTCAAGAAAGGATGGTTTTCCTCCCGCTTAATGAGCATATCGCAGATGTTTATACACACTATCAAATGAACTTCTTTGAGTTCACGAGGAACCCATAGTGAGCTTCCTTACCTATCTCAGCTTCTTCAGGTGGTCGTGAACGCTTGAATGATGGATGTTCGATGTTTCTGCTCTCTCTCATGTCGTGTAACATGGGTTTGATTAGATCGATGCCTTTACTCTGTTGTCATCAACCTCAGTGGGTCTCCTGGGCCTAGGGGCATCGTTGAGATCAAAATTACCAGCAGGGAATTTCATGAGCCATTGTTGGCACTGATGTTCTTGTACTCACTAACAGCATTGTCACTGTAAACTTTATGCAACTTTTCACAAGATTGACACACATTTTTCTCTTTATAAAAGCAAAATAGAAATATGGCAAAAACAAACAGTTTGGTCTTCCATTTCAACTTGTTGTAAAAGCTCCAAAACACAACCAAATCGCTTATTTATTTTTTTTTTAGAATAAAGCTAGAACTGTCAGCTATCAAATGACATAGCAGAAACATAGATGCAAATGAGTCTAGTACTTCCAAAAATGAATTAGCGCCATCTGTTGCAAAAAATGTGTCATGACTTTTCCAACGACCCAACATACTGTTTACTGGAAATTTGCTAAGAGAATAGATCTTAAGTGTCCTCTCCACATATATGCATGTACACACACGCACGCACATACATAAGAAGGGCAGCTATGTATGGTGATGTATGTGTTGATTAATTTAGTTGTAGTAATCATTCCACAGTGTAAATGCATATCAAATCTTCATATTATACATGTTGAAAATATACTATTTCTTTTTTAGACAGGATCTTACTCTATTATGACCCTCTTGTCTCTACCTTCCTGCTGGGATTGTAGTTTCATACAGCCTCATCAGACTTTTTCTTCGAATGGGTCTCAATATGTTGCCCAGTTCAGCTTCAACCTCACAATTCTTCTGTCTCAGCCTCTCCAAGTTGTTGAGATTACAGGCGCGTGCTGTGTACCCATGTGGTCCCAGCCTGCTGAGCACAGTGTCTTACCACTGTACCACTTCAACTGCTCCTCAATATATAGATTTTATTTTTTGGTTTTAGCCCAATAAACCTGGAAATAATAATAGGTACTTTCAACATCTCTTTAATGTGTCTTTGTTTTATTTATCTTTTTCTTAATACTTTTCTTGTTCTCAATACAATGTCTATATGTTGGGCATGTACATATACCTGCCAGCATGCCAGGACTTGCCATGTGGGATCTAGCCACCTTAACCATGGGGCCACAGGCTGTCTCATATACTTCCCTTTTAAGTTGGAGATATGTAAAACATAGTAAGAGTTGCAAATACTCACAAATGGAGGCAAAATAATCACTAAAGCCTGCTGACCATAAACACTAGAACCAGTAAAACACAGCATTTTGCTCAGTGGATTAATGGATAATATTTTTAGGACATTAAATTATTCAGCAAATTTTTATCTTTCCAAGGCTGTAAAAGTGGATATGAACTCGTTTAGAATGTACTGTTACTTTATGAATGGTTATCAACCTGCTGGTACTTTGACTTCACTTGTAGGGTTTAATTTGAACATGAAATGGGCCATAATTTCTTATTAAAATTTGTAAGGAGTTCTTTCTGTGAAATGGGGTCTACATTATATTGGTTTACTTTAATTTTTTTGTGGTTGATATTTTGGCTGTTTTTATGCTTTCAAAAAAGACCAGCTAATTCCTTTGTAATTTGTTGATATGCTCTAAAATAGCTCTCATTTTCTAAAAGGAGATTAGTTTTGTTTTGTTTTCTGAACAGCTGTTTTTCTTTGTTTTCTTTCCTCCTCCTCCTCCTTCCACTCTGCCTCTTCTTCCATATGTACGTTGAATGTATCAACTTATTCATCATTTGGCTTAAGTACTATATTGTTGCTTCTCTTTCCTACAGCTTACATAATTTCTGAAATCCACGAGTTTTATTATCTTTTACATATTCCGTCCAATGCAGAAATTGAAGAGTGCCCTCTGTGACTATGGTATTTTGTCATTTTCACTATTAAAGCAAAATGTTTCTTGCATCTCCTTGAAGTAAATAGGAATCGAATGTGATGAGCCGATATTAGACAGTCTAACTCACACAGTGTAGTCATGGTCACCATCAAAGTATTATGGCAAATGGGTGACCCAATCTACAAAGAATATATTTTTTATAAAGTATGGGTTGGCATTTTTGCTAGCACTTCCCTGGAAAATGAGATGATCTTATCATCTCATTGCCATTCATCAAGATCTATATGACGTAGATGGAAATAAAGTGCGGAAATGCTAACAGGAAGACATAGTCATGGGAAATACTGAGAATCAATCATACAAACCCATTCTCTTTCTCTCACAAACACATATGTAAACACTTCCTAGTATTTTTACTCACTGCAGTACACTAAAAGCTTTAAGTAATGTAAAGTCACCAAATGTTGCTATTCCCTGTGTGCTTAGGTAATACTAAAAATTCTAGAGTGATTACTTTTTCCTATTAATTTTTTTAAATCCCTAAGGATTACATCTAAATAATCAATAATGTAAGTTGTTGACAGTGAAGAATGTAGTACATTCAACAGCAGACCAATTTTAATGCTATCCCTGCATTTAAAGGCTTAAAAACAGTCTTTTCAAGGTAAAAACCAGACTATCCAAATGTGTGCTATGTTTTGTTAGAATAAGATTTGCATATTGTGCATCAAAGCCTATTATAGTTTAAAATGTGTGGACTCTACTAGTGTAGCTAATAGGCATTTGAGTAGATATAGATTATCAAATTTTTAACACACTCTTGTAGTTAGAGGAAACAGGTGTGCAATATACTCTCCTGGGGCTGTAGTAAAGGGTTTAGAGTAAATTCCATGCCTATGGACACAAAGCTTTCCTTTTCTCATTCTAATGGATGTTCAATTGAAACTCAGTATGGTATGTAGAATTATCCTTCACCTGAGGTAGAACTCCTGAAATGCCTTAGGAAAAGCTAAGAAGTCAACAGAACCAGAAGGAAAGTGAGTTAGGAAGTGTTGAACATATTTCTTGATCCAAATTATAGGGACTACAGATAAAACTAGGTTTACAGTGAATTTTATATTTTTAAATATTTTTAAAGAATTATTTTATTTAGCTTTATTATTTTTTCTTTATTATTATTATTATTTAATAGATAGATAGATAGATAGATATTTTACCCCATTTCTGACCCTGTGCCCTTTCCCACCATCCTCCTACACTATCTCTGGTGTCTACAGTTGTTTTCCATTCCTTTTCCCCCATTTTCTTAAATAATCTAACTACTTTCAATAGCAAGTTAAGCTGGTAATTTCAAGAAAAGCAGTTTTAACTTTAATAAATCAAAGAAATGCTAATGAGTTTTACTTGAAACTTAAAGCCAGGAAAGAGGTTAGGGTTCTGTTGAAATAATAAGTATATGAATCTATCAAGGTTTTTTGCTATAGGGTTTGTATGCTCGCCAGAAAGAGAGAAAAAGAGAGACAGAGAGCGAGAAATCACCCCTTGGGGGGATGGCCACGCCACAATCCCTTCACCTCCATTCTCCTCTTGGGATCTTGGGCACACACACACTTGCACCAGACATGAGTTTAAGCCCCTGGGTCTGGGACTTGAACCGCAGAAGACTAAATGGGAGTCCAGCCACATAACCATTAGACCAACTGCTGATCCCAGCCTTCACTGATTAAGTACAATTTTTTTTTCCTGAGAGATTTTTTTCTATAGGGTATGTGTGCTTACCAGAAATACAGAGAGAGACAGAGAGACAGAAAGCGAGAAATCACCCCCAAGGGGGGATGACCACACCACAATCTTTTCTCTTCCATTCTCCTCTTGGGATCTTGGGCACGCATGCACACATGCCTGGTGTGAGTTTAAACCACCGGGTCCGGGACTCGAACTACGGTGGACTACGTGAGAGTCCAACGACATAGCCATTACGCCCTCTGCTGCTCCCTGATTAAATACAATTTACAGGTTTTGGAGATAATTGATAATAATCCTCACTGATTTTTGGAAAATAGTCAGTGAAGCTCAAATATATTAATCCACTATACTCTTATTAATAAGAGGAAGCCATTTTGATTATGATTACAAAGTGCTCAGTAGGCAATTGTTAACTTTGGCAAAAAATTAATAAATGTGTTTTTGTCTTTCAAGGTAAAATAGAATACAAGTGCAGGAGCAAATATTCTCATGTGAAGGATGAGAATGAAGTTGGCTTTGGAAAGATGATTAGGGGTTGTGCCTTACAGGCAAATACAGGGAAGGTCATTCCATTAGGAGATACAGCTTGATCAAAGGAAATCAGTAAAGAGAAAATATTCAATTACTCTGGAACTGGTGGGGAAAAAGCCCAAAGTTAAAAGTCATGATTTTGTTATTTTTTTAAAAACAAAACCTTTTTGATATTATAATCAATATGAAGTTACTGATTTTCTCTTTGCTATTAAGAATCTGATATGATCACAAATATTTCAAAATCTGATTTGAAGGAGATATGAGGTGAATGAATTAAGACATAAATTAGAGACACAGCAATCAAGGAGTTGACATCCAACCATTGGTTTGGTTAGAAAACACATGCAACCTTCTGTTTGATAGAATGTCTGGGGAGCAGTCACTGCCTTGTTAGAACTCCTGTGGGCTATTTATTTATTCATTTATTTACTATGAGAGATTTTTGCTATAGAGCATGTGTGCTCACTGGAGAGACAGAGAGACAAAAGTGAGGAATCACTCTTAAGGGAGGATGACTGTGCTGAAATCCCTTCTGTCCCATTCACCTCTCGGGACTTTGGGCACACACACACCATATGCCTGGTGTGCGTTTTAAGCTGCTGGGTTCAGGGCTCAAACTGCAGCTGGCTACGTGGGAGTCCAGTCCCTTAACCACTACACCACCCTCTGGTGCTTCTTCTCTAGGTTTCTTCAGGGCAGAAACAATGTCCATGTTTATTTGTTAATATTTTGACAGTGATAGTACACTGAGAAGCACATTGTCAGTTTTCAGGAAAGGTCCACCGGTCATCCCATGTGAAATTTTACTGTGCGCTTAATGTTCCAAATCTAAAATGGCCGCATCACGGGATGTCGTAGTTAAGTGCACTTTTAAATGTGTATTATACAGTCTAGGAACCAGAAATAATAGGGCATGATATATTACAACGATCATATATTATAACTGGCGG